TTCTGATTCTGATTCTGATCAAGTGAGATGAATGAATTTTCTGGCATTGGAGATCCTTTGGGTGAGTGGTTGACTAATACATTTGGAAAATATAAAGCCGGGTTGTTCTTATTTTCTTCAATCAGTAATGAACAGTAAGATGTTCTAGCTTTACGGAGGGCTTTCTTATAAAGCAGAAAACTATTTCTCCATGATAACAGTTGGTGGATTATATTCTTAAACTTAGTTAAAATTGAGTCTAATAACAGATTAAATGCCATGTTGAGGCTGTCATTTTTAGCATCTACATGGATGTTAAAATCACCAACAATAATTATTTTACCTGAGGTGAGCATTAAATCAGATAAAAAATCTGAGAAATAAGACAGAAACTCTGTGTAAGGCCCAGGTGTATGATAGATGATAATAAATAAGATTTTTTTGAGTCTTCCAGCTAGGGTGGACAAGGCTGAGCATCAGGCTTTCAAATGAACTAAAAGTCTGTCTTGGTCTTTGGTTTATTAACAAGCTTGTGGTGGTGAATGACAGCATCATCAGGAAGAAGGAACACAAGAAGCTTGAGAAGTACCAAGGGCTCAGAGAAGAGCTGGAGAAGATGTGGAGGGTGAAGGCAACAGTGGTCCCAGTGGTAATCGGAGCACTAGGTGCAATGACCCTCAAGCAAGTGGAGTGGCTCCAGCAGATCCCAGGAACCGACATTGGTCATTTTTTATTGTCCGAAATATCTCGATACATAGACACTTTCTCATCCTTTACTTGGACTAGCCACCAATTTTATGTTGATTTTATTGTCATGTGTGTAGAAAAATGTGTTTGTCTTTTTCCTCTCATAACACATGCATGTTAATGTAAAAACATCTGTTGATTTTTTATGGGTTTTTGTAAAGGTTTACTTTAAGGCCTTGACATATTTAAGGCATATTTTGCCCATTTGTTGTCCAAATTTTCTCCAGACCTTCTAACTTTATGACACAACAGGATTGAAAAGATGAAACTACAATTGTTAGGATAACCATCAGTGCTTCTGTTCAATGTGAAACCCAGTAACATCATGTTAAAAACAAATGTTCCATATTAACACAGTTATCCTTTTTTCAGTTTCTAATTTATAGATGAAAAAGCATTGGCATTTTTATAAAATGTTACGGTGACAAAATAAGTTCCAACAGGCCACAGTTGACATCGTTTTAGACACTGACACATCAACAAATGGTTCCTTTGTACAAATATTATTGCAACGCTGTAATTATTATTGTTTTTATGATGGAAATGTGTACTATCTTTACTGACTTCTTATCAACTGAAAATAAATTTATGAGTATGAGTATGTACCTAAGCACGTAAACCTCTTTAGTGT